TAGAGTTGCCCCTTTTGTTTCTCTAGCGAGAAACCTTTAGCTTATGGAATGGCTACTCGTAAAGGTTGAGCACCTAGCTCGTTTGGGACTTTTTCCTCTTTAGAAGAAGAAGAAGGTGAAAGCTCTAGCCTAGGAGGAGTACCTCTAATGATAGGGCCTATTAAACTAAGACGTCTAGATACATCGGTAGCGAGTCTTTTCGGAGGTCTACAAAATGGTTTAATTGGTCCCTACGAAGATGAATTATCTAAAGACGGATAAAGTAAAATGAGTTTCCTCTTTCTCTAATCCGGCTTCTTTGGTAAAATTGTCAACGAGTAAAACCAAGAAAAATAAATTTTATCTCCTTTTCTTTTGAACTTAAGAATGACAAAAAGAATAGAAAACCCACTAGTTTTTACGAGCAATCCACCCTCTTTTGGTGTTGATTCCATCCGTATTAATACACTAGTAATTACATGGAGCTAATCCTCTTGGCATGAAAAAGGAAAATTGTTGCTCCAAAACGCCGACCACATTGTAGTGAATGTTGAAGTCACTCTAATATTCGAGCGATAGCCACAAAGGTCTTAAGTATTGGCAAAGACTTGGGATTCGTTCTCGGTAATTTACTCTAGAAAATTCTTGATGTCATTCCTTTTTTGTTAGGTTTGGTTTATGGTTATCTACAATGACATTGCCACTGTTTGAATTAACCCAAATTATCAAGCACAAAGGTTTGGAGAATAGGCTTCAACAAGGATTAAATCTCCCAAAGAGTAAGTTAAGTCTCAACTTACCGGTATTGAACTCCGGACGCAGTGCTCACTAGCGAGATAATTATACCTTACGAAGTAATTTTTTCGAACAAAACCACAAGGGTCCATAGTCGTGAGTATGGAATGGCATCCGATCATCTAATATTGCTCAATGGCAATCTGGATCAAAAATGTGATTCATAGTTTCGAGGAGAGTAATAGGTTGGCTAAGTGTATTATGAAACAATGAATGGCCATAAGTCTCCAAATCGTTCCGGATCAAATGAGGTCCGCAAAAGGCGAGGAAATAGAATTCGCCCCATAATTGGATAAACTAAAGAGGACGAGACAAGGTTTTGAACCTTTTGGTCGATGCATCATGAAGGCTCGCATATGCACATGCAAGGAGAATCAAACCTATAGCCATTGGTTCGATTCCATCAAATGCGACAGATTGATGGCCCAAGGTAAAAATGTTTTGATTTTGTTTTTTCAATTTGGAACCCACAATGTACTTACAAATCCACAGCAAGTAGAAATCGATCTCCTCATGTTGGGATATCGTTAGCCCACCTCCACATCGATCCACTAGTTGACCATACACTATTGAAAGCTTATTTTCTTGGACCTTAAGGCCTACATCAATTGCTTTAAAGACCAAAGTTTGGCTAAAAAGGTGTAAACAAGTAATAGCCATGACATCTAATAAGGTCATTGACATATGGCCTTTTGAGAATTAGAATTGGTTGATGCGAGGGTTCTAGAAAGAGACCAAAGCTATGACCGGACTAGGGTTAGGAAAATATGAGTGATCCGACAACATAATGGCCTCACGGATCCCCATCATTACCTATTTTTTGCCCAATCGAGGAAGAAGCCTCTTGTTCACCCAAGCCTCATACTTGGCATCTAATTTTGGCCAAATTGCTAGGAATGCTTTAGTGCTGCGAGTCCAATTTTGGAGGGTGGAATAAAATACGGAGTTAAAAAATTATGCTAGTGTTAGTAGTTCTTGGGTAAGCTGGATAAATCATCTCCGACAAAGGCACTACATTAGCATTGACTATAGGTCCTAGAGTTAGATAAGGACTCCTCTTAAGGTTTTTCTTAAACCCTACTCGGGACATCGATAACTTGGTTGTTTGTAATAGTCCGAATGAGGTGACTATCAATTGGATTGGGTCGAACAAAAAGCTCCCATAATCTATGACATTCGGTTAACAAAGATTCTTTGGTCCGCATAGACTTCTTGGAAGTTTTTGGATTTCTTTTAGGAGCCATTCTAATGGAATGGAAAGAAATCCCAAAGAAAATAAAGTATTTGACAAAAGGTCGGAAGGGTTATTGAAAAAACCTTTTACGGAAAGTAAGGAGAATCATAAAGAGTGCAAAATCATAAGGTCGGCTTTGTTTTATATCACATACATTCAAAGGTCACGATGATTTCACCTTTAAAACTCGATGATTTAGATTTGGTGAAATGAAACATCGGATTACCGCATAAAGTAGCCGCCTTTAGAAAGATGAGAAGTCACATAGTCTCATCACATCTTATGGGCATTTAGTGATTCGTGCATTAGAGAAGAAACTCCTCGTTTCATCTCTAAAAGGGCTTGTGTTGGCATATATAAATTTAAGCCACGTGTCGATTGGAATCGACATTACATATTAAAACGTTGTACCTTAACCGAACGATGCATTCTCGAATCTTAATGAAACGATGCGTTTGGTTTCATAAACCAACCAATATCAACGGACATGGATTTGAAAACTTTAAATGAAACGATACGTTTGGGCTCACAAACCAACCAATATCGATAAAATAGAAGTATGAAATAAAACGATACGTTTGATTTTACAAGCTAATCAATATCGACAAAATAAAGATTTTGTTTGGTCCGTTTGGTTTCACAAACCAACCGATGTCGATGAATAGAAAGAAGATAAAACCTAATAACCGTTCACACTCAAATTTAAAATCCCAAACAGTTATCAATTGACCATAGTTCAAAAGAAAGGAAAGAAGACAATAAGACTGCTTCTGCAATTTATTTTTATCCTTTAAAATAACATTACCTTCTTGTAAAGTAGATCGATAACGTTTATTACGTTTTCCGATAACTTAGGATTTTTTTACCTCAAGTATTGCCAAATGGCATCATACAAAACTATTGATGTAAGTGTTGTATCTTCCGATTTATAATATTTATATCTTAGTTTATCACAATATTCTCTTTTTATTTTCAATTTTATCACTCAAATCGAAATACCACATAAAAGTCCTAATGGTTTACTATGCGGCATTGAACCCTTTATTATTTCCTTGCGAAGTATTTGGTTAAAGTGTTGATTTACCGCACATTTAAAACCAAATTCAACGAGCAACAATGCTAAGTAGCTTAAAAAACGTTACTAATAAAGGGTCCATATTAAACAAATTAATTTGAGATAGAAACTAAATTAAAACTTAAATTGATTAAAAATTGATTAACCAATTTTTTATAGTATAAAAACCATACATAAAGTTAGCTCTATAATTTAGTCATAGTTTAGAAAGCTAGGCCAAAACATGGGTAAGTTAAAATTTAATAATATATATATATATATATATATATATATAGAAACGTCTCACGTGACTCCGGTTCAAGAATGTTAGTTACATGATTAGCGAGACTAATTGCTATTTAAAAAAATAGATATTCAATTTTTACAATAGCATGTCATCTAAATGAAACAGATTATAAATACTCTAATTATTAGGAAAAACTTAATGAATTGGATGATTTGGTTAAATCAACAATCGCATTTGAACTATTGTTTTTAATTTAATTTTAACCATTACAAAGTCTTTTGACACGTAAAACTATTTTTTTTTAGTTTTATTTTATTAGTTTCTATTAATTTTTTTTTTACATGTATTTTTATGTCATGTATCAATTTCATGTTACGTGTCATTTTTATCTAAGTATAATGTCAACTATCATTTGTTATTAAAAAGTTAAACATAAGTTCATTGGAAGAGTCACATTAAAAAATAGAAAGCTCATATTATATGTGATAAATAAAAAATGCAAAAACATCAAATTAAGAAAATTTAAAGGAAAAAAAGGATGAATCATATAATTATTTCATGTAAAAACTACAAGATAGAATCAAAACAAATTTCCTCCATTTGTTTTTTTTCCCCCATATGTGAATATTTTTTTTAAGGAAAAAAAAAGATTAAAACAACCTTTGACTAAACCTAAATAATTTTGAACCCAACAAAAAACAAAGTCAGCAAAACAAAATAAATCACTTTTTGATTCTAACCAGACTTCTCTAACCACAACATCAAAAAGCTAAATACCCATAATGCCACCTGTCCACCCATGATCTCGAATTCTCGAGATATAGATTTACATAGTCTTTTCCCAAGCCGAAAAACTCGCTAATATCTCCAGAGCTGACTTTTCAATAACTTTGTGAGTCCTTGTGTTACCAAACCCACCCTCATTCCCACACTTATTTACAATATCTTGCCATTCCAAGCCTGGACCCCGCTTAAGAAGCCTGACCATACCAAAAGGTTCCCTCTCCTAATTAAATGTGTACATGTCAGCACACAATCATTTCGCTAAGCCCACATTCTCCCAAGTGTCGAACACCCAGTAATCCTAGGCAAAACGTGAATAAATAACTAAACGACACTACCTAATTGCTACACCAACCAAGTAACAATATGGCTAGTGTTCTTTATTGATCATCTTTTCTTCCCTATTATTTATTTATTTTGTTGTTCATTAATCACTTTTTTGCTTCAGTTAATGGACTCTGAGCTTTTTGAAATAGACTAATTCTGATTTAATCAAGTTAGCGGCGGAAATTCGGCATTTTTTTGTTTTATTGGTAAGTGCCTTTCTTTCACACCATGCATGATCATTTCCATTGTTGTCGTTGCATGATTATAATCATGTTAATTTAGTTTCTGATGATGACATTAGATTAGTCTTAATGACTGTTCATCTGGAACTCAGTGACCGATTCCTTTTTACCTTCTTTTTGCTGCTGCGTAAAATGGTTTTGGGTTTTATTTTTGATTTTGTATGTTTTTGCTTTCTGTTTTAGAAATGGTGAGGAATCAAGGGATCTGTCATCTATGGCGTTTCGGGATTACAACAAAAAAAAGCCGAATTTCCGCCAAGATTTTAGGCTTAGCTAGGTTGTGTAATTAGGAGAAATAATTGGTTGGTAATTATTTTACATTAGAAAAGGGAAGGGAGCATGGAATCTGTATGTGATTTTTGTGGAGTGGCAAAGGCTGTTGTTTATTGTAAACCAGACTCAGCAAAGCTGTGCTTGCACTGTGATGGATGCGTGCATTCGGCCAACTTTTTGTCGCGAAGGCATCCGCGTTCGCTGCTATGCGATAAGTGCAGTTCACAGCCTGCAAGGGCACGGTGCTTAGATGAAAAGTTGTCGATTTGCCAAGGATGTGATTGCAGTGCAAATGGATGTTCAAGTTTGGGGCATCATCTTCGGGCGTTGAATTGTTATACAGGGTGTTACTCTTTGGCTGAGTTTTCGAAGATGTGGTCATTAGTTCCTGAGGGACCATCTTTGGGAGGCTTTGATTCAGGATGGGATTCACTTATTTCTGGGCCGATAAATGGGAATTGCATCAGTAGTTGCTTGGAGCAAAGGGATGATGAGGCCGGATCATTGGGCTTGGTTACCTGCAAGGTGAATGAACTAGAATCTTGTTCCAAGCTTGAACCTTGGAGGGGGCCTTCGAGCTTCATCACTCCGAATTCAAACTCCATGCCTAGTTGTAGAGGTCATGTGCCTTTGTTGCCGGAGGTGGCAAACCTGCCGAAGGTAACATTTAACACCGACATTTTCGGTTATCAGAACTGCAACATATATAGATGGTTTTGTTATGGCTATTTTTCTATTATACGAGTCCTTTTTCGTTAGATTTTTTAGCTGCTTCATTCATAATAGCTATTAATTGAGTCCAACTTACACAGGCCTTTTTCAATTCTGCAGCAGGATTGTTCCATCCTTAAGGATATTGGACTTCCTGATTGTGAAGATCTATATGAAGGTCTCAACTTGGATGATTTACCATTGGACTTTGAAAACAGCGCCGAAATATTTAGCTGTTCAGAAAGTCATTACAGATATCAGGTTGAGGATGTAGGAAAAGATTGCATGTTAATGGAGAAAAACTTGTCAGTTACCGAGTCTAATGGCCCTATCGAAAATGCTATAGAGGTTTTCTCCAACTCTCTTTTTTTTTATTCTGAAGCTATCTTCAATTATATTTCGGTCAGTTGTTCTTTCCATTTCGCATGCCTAAGCTAAACCACTGTTGCTGACTGCTAGCTCTCCGTGTGCTTTATTAGGTGTCATCATCAGGACAGCAGGATTGTCTTGCCTTCCAATCATCTTGTGTTTCTGGGTCAGCTAGTGCAATACAGACCATAAGTGGTAATGCTAATTGCAGCATATTTACGGATCCTAGTTGCAGCAGAAACTTCAACCTAGGAATTCCTGCTCTTACTGGACAAGTTCATTCAAGCATGTCTCTTTCACTATCCAACATAATTGGTGAAAGTAGTGCTGCTGATTATCAAGATTGCGGATTATCGTCACTATTTATGAATGGTGAATCACCATGGGAATCACATCTGGATGGTAACTCTCCCCAGGCAAGAGATAAGGCTAAGATGAGATACAAGGAAAAGAAGAAGACACGGACGTATGTGCTTGAACTCCTGCAGCTTCACAAATTTTTGTGGTGTTTACTATAACAATTTTTGCTTACTTTCCAACTCAGAGATTCCACTCAATTCTGTTGTTTTTGCAGTTTCAGCAAGCAAATCAGATATGCCTCTCGTAAAGCCAGGGCTGATACTCGAAAACGAGTAAAAGGCAGATTTGTTAAAGCCGGGGAAGAATATGATTATGACCCTCTTCCGTCAAGCAACTTCTGAGCCAGATTACTGAATCTTTATCCCTTACCAACAAGACAATAATGAAAATGAAATAACAAGGTAATAAACTTTCTAGTTGCTTAAACTTCATGCATAGTTTTCCTTGCATTTTATGTGTTTTTTGGTTTCCAATAAAGCTTGGTTTTTTGTATGCGATGGTAGATCTTTAGCACTAGTATACCCCTGAATGTTTGAGTTGGACAAGCCGATGACATTCCTGACAGCAAGTGAACTTCCACAACCATCATTATTTGTAAAGATTCTTCTACTGGGGACCCTCTTTAGCTTTTCGCCACCATCTTGCCGCAGGGCAACGCCCTTATTGACAGTCAATTTTGGCCATGGTAGATGCATATTATCAGAATAATAAATGTAAATTTCTGCTTCCTTGTTTCTCTGTTCAATGTAATAAATTTTGATCCAATTATAGCTGTCGGGTTGAAATAAAAAATGAACTTCACTTTATCAGAATAATAAATGTAAATTTCTACTTCCTTGTTGCTCGCGTATTCGATTCGCTGCACATTTGGAGCCGAAGCTCAAAACACCTTTCTATTTTTATTTGTTCATATCCAGAACTCTACAGGAACTTAGCAGCAATGACATGGTTCTTACCTTTGTTAGACTCAAGGCACGACCAAAAGAATCAAAAGAAGCAGAGACTTGAATTGCAAAAAAATCATATGGAAGCAGGCATAATTAAAGCCAGCCTGCTGGCTGTGGTCCTTGACAAATTAATTATATCTAAATTTTATTGGTAATTTCTTTTCAAAATGTATCCAAAATCCATTCTAATTTGTCCAATTGTTTTTTGGTTTAATTGCATTTCAAGTCTCTCTATTGTTGACATTTTCTTAATATGACCCTTGTATTTTTTTTATTCAATCACTCATTGTGTTTTTTAATTTTTTTTTTAATATGACCCCTCCTATTATTTTTTGATCAATTTTATGATCAAAACGGACAGTTGAGATAAAATAATCTATGCATCATGATAAGTCATATTTTTTTGCTAGGTAAAAAAATTAAAAAAATGATTTTATTTTTTCTCCTCCCTCTCACTCTCTCTCCCCTCTATCTCTCCCCCTCCCTCTTCTTTATCTCTCTCTCATCTGTTTCAATAAAATATTCCTCGCTCCTCCAATGACCAACATGCCGCCTACTTTATCCAAAAGATCTTCATCTTTTGCAAATCTGCAGGTTACCAACATGTAAAAAGATTTTTTGGATCAAAGAAAAGCCTCCAAATTTGATCCAAAATTTTATATTTATCCATCCAAAATTTTCACGTAAAAAGTCTTTTTGGATAAAAAATTTTGGATGGATAAATCGAGAAATATTATCAGACCTCCAATGACCAATTTTTACGTCATGATTCTCACAATGTGGAGATCCAAAAAGTCATGAAATATTGGAAGGAGAAAAGGAACTTGAGAAATAAGAGAAAGATAAATCAATGTTTCAGTTACATGGCCCATGCAACAAATTAGAGAAGAATAAAACTTCAAAGGGAAAATAATTGAATACTAACCTGAACATCGCTCCATTCAACGCATATCAGGAACATCATAAGAGCTCTCTTCTCTGGCATCAATGAGAAGCGAAATTTTCACATAAGATGTCTCTCATTTCCATTCAAAATCCTTGTCGACGGGTACTTCAGAATACTCTGAATTGACCTTAAAAACAAGTAGGCAAACGATACACCTCAACTCATGCGCAATAATTAAAACCACTCAATAAAATAGTTAAAAGCATACTGCAACAAAAATAGAGCTGAAATGACATAATCAAACCATGAAAGAGATGATAAAGTCATATTTGACAGTTATCAATTGTCCAGTGTAAATGAATATTAGATTACAACTACTCTATTGTACAAAAGCTCCCACAAGAACATCTTTACACACAGCAAACTTCAAATTTCTAATGGGGGTTTATTTTTGCAAGAAAGTATCTCTGATAAAAAGGGTTTAAGCTTACTTTCGTTCGTTGGAGCTTGGCTTCAGATCCCTATCAATGATACCTCGCGGCAGACTTCTTGCCATCTTTAGTTGCTTGTGCTCAGAGGGATTTATCTTTCTAATTTCTAGATCCCACACAATAACAAGTTCATTCATTAAAGCTACAGGAGATGGTAATCGTGAAGAACCCAAAATGGAGCGTTTCATTTAAAATTCAGTAGCAAAATAAAATAAGGGTAGTCTAGTCAATTTATTCTGTAATTTGAAATTTCTTAAATTATTGTTGTAACAAAATGCTGTTACAACCATTCTGGCGTTTCTAAGGCCAATACTAGAAGAGGAATCCTACTTCCTTAAATTGAGGAAGAAATGTAATCATTGAGGTATCTTTTAATCAAGAAATTATTCCCAATATTCCTTTTTTACTCTATTCCTTCTCTCCTCTGTCATTCATTTCCTTACTCTTCTTCTTCTTCTTCTTCTTCCTTCAGACTTCTTCTATCCTATCACACACCATTAGTAGGTTCCTTACAATTGTTATCAAAGCTCTTCTACATCATGGTCGAAGGTACCGGACTAAAAACCTTAGATGAGCGAGGTGAGAAATTTGGAAAGCCGAGTTCAAATACTACAAGTCGATATTGCAAAAACTCACACTAACATGTTCACCCAACACTAGGCCACCGAGATGTTCAACCAACACCAACAAGCCTTGTAAGGGTTAATGGAGGTTGTGAAAGCGCTACAAACAACAAACAATGGAGGCTCGAAAGGAGCTAGTACCTCTTCCCATCGGAGGATAAATACGGGGAAAAGGATCTTGTTTACACCCTTAGACATCTAAACCCCACACGCCGGTCACACCACTCGCTCCTCACTACTTCAACCAACACAACATTACACATCCCGAGTTACCACCACCTCATTATCGGGCACCTAGCCAACTCTAGCCAATAATGGACTTTCGGTACTTTGATAGGACTAATCCAAGGCTATGGGCTCGAAAGTGTCGGAAGGTATTTCAAGTATACCAATTCGGAGAAGAGTCTAAAGTGAAGACTACCGCCATGTTTTTGGACATTAAACCGGATATACTTGTATCAAGAATGGAAGGAAGATAGGGAGAGATTGGACTAGGAGGAGTTTGTAGAGGACTTATATAGAAGGTTTGGAGAACAAGAAGAGATCATTATAGTAGAGGAATTTCACGAGTTGAAACAAATTGGAACTATAGAAGAGTACTAAGAGAAGTTCGAGGACACGAAATCCTTAGTGAAAAGGATGAATCCGGGATTCACGGAAGAATACTTGGTCAAGATGTTAATAAGAGGGTTGAGGGGAGATCTAAGCCTAACGAGTAAAGAGATTCAAACCAACGAGACCTTTGAGAAGCATTTAAGAAAGCCAAGCTCAATGAGGCTCTAAGAAAAGTCACACTCCATCCTAACAAACCAACCAACATACACCATTCCTAATCTCGAAACCTCCCCACATTATCACCATTGTCCCAAAACCAGCATACCCCTATTTAACTACTCACGAAACCAACCTTTTCAACCTTAAAAAGAGTAGTAAAATAGGCCGAATAACATGAGTGAAATTAGGAGAGATCCGGGTAAATGCTTCAAGTGTGGGGATAGATACTTTCCAAGGCATTAATGCAAGTTGAAGCATTACTACACATAATGCTTGGAAGAAGTGGAACAAAGAGAGCTAATGGACAATGACATGGTAGAGGACGAATAACTCGCAATGGAGGAGGAGTTAGCGAGTCGAGGTGGATAGTGGCATTTCCTTGCATGCCTTGAGTGGTAAGGTTTCACCTAATGCTTTCAAAATCGGAGTGTATGTGGGAAAAAGGGCATTAGTATTTTGATTGATAGCGGGAGTACTAATAGTTTAATTGATAAGGATCTTGTAAGGGGGTTACGAGCTTTATACCATAAAAACCACACCATTGACGAGTGACAATAACTAATGGGGCTAGAATGAAGAGTGAGTTTAGATGTAAGAGGTTTCAATGGGTGATGCAAGGCAAAGACTATGAGGCCGACCTAGGAGTATTAGACCTAGGAGATGTGATGTAGTACTTAGGTGGTTTAGATTGGATGGAAAACTAAAACCCTATATATTTTGACCTTAAAAACAGAGAGGTCACCATCCATCAAGGGAATGAGAAAATCACCCTAAAGACTAAAAGGGGAGAGGGGTGTTACGGTCTACGTAAAGGGAAAGGACTATAAAAATTCTTTAAATAAGGGATGAAAGGGGTCACTAATCATATGTTCATGATTATATGTGAAGAAAAAGGGAGAGAAACACATCGGCACTCGAATTCCCTCTTGAAGGAATACTAAGATGTCTTTAAGGAGCGAGAGAATTACCACCTCACCGAGCCTTAGATCACACCATTCTCCCGAAAACAAACACCAAACCAGTCAATTAAGGCCCTATAGCTACCTATATTTCCAAAAAGAAAAGTAGAGAAGGCTGGTGAAGGAGATGTTACGGACTTTCCTAATTCGAGCTTAGTCATTCCCCTTTTGTTTCACTTGTGTTGTTAATTAAGAAGAAAAATGGCTCCTGGAGGTTTTGTGTGGATTATAGAGGTTTGAATGACATTACAATTAAGGATAAATTTCCCATTCTCCTAATGGAAGACCTTATGGATGAGCTTAATGGAGCAGTCATCTTCTCTAAGATTGATCTAAGGTTTGGTTACCACTAGATCATAATGGCTAAAGAAGAAATCCCAAAGACGACCTTCGGAACTCATCGAGGCCATTACGAGTTCAAGGTTATGCCTTTTGGACTCACCAATGCTCCAACTACTTTTTAAACACCGATGAATCAAGTGTTTGCTGACCGCTTAAGGAAGTTTGTGCTAGTTTTTTTTATGACATTCTCATCTATAGTAGCGACCTAGAGAAGCATCTAACTCACCTTAAGACTATGCTTCAAACATTGAGACGACTCTAATTTCATGCAAAGAGGTTTAAATGCTCCTTTGGGGTGGACCAAATGGAGTATATAAGCCACATAATCACCAAGGAAGGGGTGTCCACCGACCCAACTAAGGTGCGAAGCCATGATAGAATGGCCACTCCCAATGAGCCTCAAATACCTTAGAGGTTTCCTAGTCTCACTAGCTACTATAGGAAATTCATCAAGGATTATAGGAGTATTAGTCGACCCTTGACTAATCTATTGAAGAAAGATGCATTCTAGTGGAGTAAGGAGTCTACACAAGCCTTTGAGCGACTTAAAAAAGCTATGTGATTAGCTCTAGTGTTAACATTGCCTAACTTTAAGGAAACCTTCATCCTAGAAACGGATGCATGTGACATGGGTATAAGGGCGGTTTTGATGCAAGGAAGGAGACTAATAGCCTATTTCAGCAAGGCCTTGTGTCCAAGAAATCAAGGTATATCTACTCGTGAAAAGAAGCTATTAGCTATACTCGTGGCGAGTGGACAAAATAGAGGAATTACTTAGAGGCTAGCCCATTCATCATCAAAGCTGATCACTACGATCTAAAGTAATCATAGTATTAGTACCACAATGGCTAGAGGAAGTAAAACAGAGCTACAACAATGATCCTATAGCAAAAAGCTGATTGAAGCAGCCACTAGAACTAGGAGGGTTACCATATAACTACTCCTACGATGGGGGTTTGTTGAGGTATCGGGGTAGGTTGTATATAGGAAGTGTAGGGGAGCTCGGACAAAAGATCCTCGGTGATTTACACTCATCTCCTATTAGGGGACACTCGGGGCTCAAGGCTACTTACTACCGAGCTAGACAATTGTTCTACTGGCCGGGATTGAAACAAGAGGTTAAAGGAGAAGTAATAGTGTAACCCCCATAAAAACCCTTATCCAGTAACGCGACGTGTATTAGAATAATTCTATATATATGTATATTAAGAGTAAGTATAATTATCATTTCATCATGAGAAATTAATGCTTAAAAGATGTGATTTATGTTAAATTAAATTTATTGTGCTTAAGATTAATGGTTTAATTATTAAAGAAATCAAATATGCAAAATCGAGTGTTTTAAGGACTATATTCTGCTCGAGTTTTGTGTGACTTATTTAAGGACTTTAGGGTAATTTTTGGGTCAACCTTAAAGAATGAAAGTTGTTTATCTATGTGTTGAATAGATCTCTATAAACTTTTATAATATTTAGACCTATACATTATGATTTATACCAATTATAGTAAGGGTTGTTTCGAAATGCATTCTGTTGGAATTTTGGAAGAAGAATCTATCCGAATCTTGTGAGATTTATTTGATGCTTTTAGATTGCGTTTTGAGAAAAACTTAAAGAATAAAAGTTGTTTTTATATGTGTTTACTAGCTCTCTATAAAATTTCATAATTTTTTGATACACATAGAAAGTGTTATGCACATTTTAGTATAGATGGGTTAGGAGGAAACACTTGCTGAAATTTTGGGGGAAAAGAAATTCCGAATTTTTAAAAATGAAAATTTCCGAATTTTTATGAAAGAAAGTAGTTTTAGTTACTTGAATTAAGTTAATTAATGATTTTAATTAGTCTAAATTTTATATAGAGACCTAAGTAAATGCAATAAATGAATTCAATGCCAACTCACCCATTATGGATTCCAAAGCGACTGACTTTCCTCATGACTCACCCATAACCTTTACACCTTATCCCATTAATTTCTAACACTTGTAGCTGAATGAAAGTAAGTATATATATATATATAGCAAGTTTTAAAATAGGAGAAAAACTTTAGTAACCCGTAGGTACCGAAATTGAGAGAGAAAAGGCAAGAAAGAAAAGAGAGGAAGAAAAACGTGGGAGAGAAAGGAAAGGAAAGGAAAGAAAAAGAGGAAGGGAAAAAGGAAAGAAAAAGAGCTAAGAAAACTATAATCAAACCTAAAATATGTAAGTAGGTTTCATTTTTTGGCTGATTAATGTCTTAAATTATTTTTTTTAAGTTATTTTGTTAGTGTTTATTTCATGGGTTGTAATAATTTTCAATGGTTATATGCTTGATGCTTGGGATAAATCTATGTATGGATGCCTTGTTGTGATGATTTATGATGTTAT